CACTTTTTAAAAAAGATGCAGCTCAAGCACCTTCTTCTGCAAGAAGACTTTTTTTTTTTGCTTTTTAGTGAGGCAATCAGGGTGAAGTGACTTGCTTAGGCTCACACAGCTAGTGTCAAGTGTCTGAGGTCGGATAAGACTTTCTTGAGGCTCTCAACTGCTAGTGCCCTCCCTCCCAAACTAAATTGTATTTAACTACTTTAGATGTATATTTCCTCTATATTCATGCAATATACATATAAATACTTATTACATAATAAGTGTAATATGCATACATATTTATATATGTATACACAACTATATTTATATATGTACTTGTTGGGAATAGGGATTGCTTTCTTTGTATCCTCAATGCCTAGAAAAGTACCTGGCACATAGTGGTCACATAATACTTGTTGTCTTGGGCAGCTAGGTGGCACAGTGGAGGGGGCTTAGAGTTAGGACGACTCTTCTTCCCAAGTTGAAATCCCATCTCAGAGACTTACTAACTGTGTGACCCTGAGCAAGTCACTTAACCCTGTTTGCCTCAGTTTCCTCATAATGTAAAATCAGTTGGAGAAGAAAACCCCAAATGGGGTCACAAAGAGTTGGACAAGACTGAAATGGCTGAACAACAATCACACTTGTTGACTGAGTGACTGAATCACAGTTTTTTAGGGGGGAGGGACAGGGGAGGGGCATGGTGACATTGCTGGTTTTAACTAGTGCAACAGTCATAACCATATCTCTTTCAGCTGTATTTTGATATGCTAGCAACTACCTTGGTCAGGAAGGTATTTAGGCTGCAGTGTGCAAGCTACTTTTTTAAAAAGTGCTTTTCCCCCTAGTGTGCCAACAAAATTAGCTTTTTATTCTTTAAAGTATCTTGGTTAGTTTAGGAACGTAAAATTGTATTATACTAATAAAATTACCATTCTTTCTTAGTAAATGCATAAATCTGAAGGCCCTAAGATATTCCATTCCACAGTTTTTTGGAGAGAAAGCACAAAAAAGGAGTGAGGAAAAAAATTTCCCACTGCTCTCTCCTCTCTCTTTTCCCCAACATACCTCCCAATAAAAGGTTTTAGAAAATAGGTTCTAAAAGGTTAGATTAAAAGAGCTATGTATAATTTAGCCTTAAGAGGAAAAGAGACTTCAAAAGATCATTTCTGAAAAACAGTAAACAGTTAATCACTCCTTTTATTCAGAGAAATGCTCTAAAATTTGAGACTAATGGATTTTGCATAGCTTTAGAAAGAAGATCCTGATTATAAACTGGGTTATGAAAGCTGGGGAGTCTCATCCTTGGTTGATATTTGAATAAAAAAAATCATAGTAACCATCTTCCTAGGATGGTTTGAGCCCTAACAAAAAACAAGAAGACACGGTGAACTCTCAAATCTTCTGTCAATCTTATGATTCTGTTAAATTTATTTCATTATCATTATAATCAAAACCTGCTTTTATTATACAAGTTAAATCTATTCAGTTATTGCCCAGTAAGAGTTTTTAAGATGATTTGTAATTTTACAAAGTGAACTAAATAGGATAAAATCTTAGGCCTGGTTATGATGCTGTTTGTGTAAGTCACTTGTCCTCCCTGTGATTCAATTTCCAACTTGGCGAAAAAGGCTTAAGTAATATCTGTTATGAGGATGTTGCCAGGATTTCTGCTTAATGGCATTACGGTAATTCTCAGGGGAAAAAAAAAGGAAAAGGTACTAATTGGGCTTCTTAAGCAGTTTCACAAAAGGAATGGAAAAGAAGTGAGGCATCATGACATGAAGAAGAAGATCTGGAAAAGTACAGAATATAATAATTTTTTCTAGGAATGCCAGCCATTCATTTTCAGTAAAAATGGAACTAGAGAAGGCACTGTTCAATAAAATAATAATCATAATAATAGCTAACACACACACACATATTGCTTGCTTATAATTATTGCCTCATGTGATCCTTACAACTCTGAGAAGTAGGTGCTATTATTTCTCTCCATTTTACAGATGAAGAAACTGAAGCAAAATGAAGGTTAAGTGACTTGCTGAGGGTCACCCAGAGCTAATAAGTGTATGAGACTAGATTTCAACTCAGTTGTTCCTACTTAAGTCCAGGCCTGCACAATATATTGACAAAAGTTTTAAAGTAATTTCATTCCTACCTCCCCACCCTCCCTGTTAACCTCTTTAGAATATTTCAGGTTTTAACCTGAGAAAAATGAAATGAGAATGGATAAAGTTATAGGTGACAAAGAGAAACACAGAAGAGAGATGAATGAAAACAAGAGAGGGAAACAATGACAGAAATGGGCACTGAGTCTCTTTCACAATCTCTTCTAATTTGTTTGTACTCTCTCTGTTCCCTTTACTGACAATGCTGCTCAATATAGTCTATCTTCTTACGAAAGATCCACCATTACGAGTGCTCAGCACATTGCCTGGTAAGTAATAAGTATTTAATAACCAATGCTACTGAATCAAAAACAATCCCCAAATTCCTTCAGGCATATGGACAAGGATGCATTATATTTCTGGAGAACCAAAAAGTATGCCTCATATATTTAATATTCCAAGGAAATAATCAAATTAATTAGAGTCTACAAAATATGCCTATAGAATGTGTCAGATTCAAAGACCAAAGGATTTTGATTTCAGTTTTAGATTTAAAACAACACATGATGAAGAATAACATTTCAAGAAAATAACATACAAAACAGATGAAAAATTTGTGACATCAATTGGACAGGTTTGGGGTAAAGATGGTATACATTATGCTTAAGAATTAACTGGTGGTGGCACAGACATTGTATGAAAGAATACATTACAGCTTAATAATACACCTAAGCATGATCTTGAGCAAGAAGTCTGAAGAAACATATTCAATTAATGGAAATAATGTGAATAACTATAATACCCAGGACACTATAGAGCAAGTGGTTCTTAATCTTTTTTATATTATGTACCCCTTCCTGCCAACACATCTTTGGCAGTCTCCAGAAGAGACTGTGGACCCCTGCCTTCTCAGAATACTTCTTGTTTTTTAATTCATAATTGAAAGGAATGCTAAATTTCAATTAGAAATTAATGTAAATGAAGACATAATTTTCCCCCCAGGGAAATTCACATACCCCATGAAATCTACTGACAGATCCTGTAGGGGTCTAAGGAATCTAGGTTAAGAACCCCTGCTATACAGTTTTAAAATGGAAAGCACAGAAACCAGTGAGATTTCCTCCCTTCTCCAGCATGAAAGAAAGATATGATTCAAAGCTAGATAAGAGTTTGAGTCTCTGTCAAAGTAAGAGGAGTCCTCCCAGAACTGGTGTCCTACAGTTTTTTACAAATATAGTCAGATTTCAGGAATTATAATTTCAAAGTCATAACAATATAGGTACTACCTATTGCTTTTCAAGTGATATGAAGGCCCTCAAAACTCAAAGATGTTCTGGCTGCTTCCTTCCATGAATTTAAAACCAACTATTCTAACCTCTTTGTAAAAGGTTAGAGAATCAAAGAGTATCCATAAACAATTATACCAAGAACAAAAATTTGGGAATCCAGTGCTATTAAGGGATTAATTTGCATTTCCTTTGAGTAAATGGAAGATATGTCATACAGACATAGCCTACCAGCTGCCAATTTGACAGGTGTATTAACTCTCAGAAATTTTGCTTTAAAGATAAATGTTACAAACATACATGAAAGGAAAATAAGCAGACTCCATTCCTTTATACCACACAAAAGTGTTATTTGAAGGAATATGTGTTTGTTCAGTCCTTTTTCAGTAGTGCCCAACTCTTTGTGACCCCATTTGGGGTTTTCTTGGCAAAGATACTGAAGTGGTTTGCCATTTTCTTCTGCAGCTCATTTTATAGGTGAGGAATTGAGGTGAACAGAGTTAAGTGACTTGCCCAACGTCACATAGTCATAAGTGTTAGATTTTAACTCAGGAAGCTGAGTCTTCCTGACTCCAGGCCCAGTTCTCTATCCACTGCGCCACCTAGATTCCCTATTTGAAGACCACCAAAATCTTATAACAGAAAAGATAACAGGACAGGGAAAAGTCCTGCTTCCATCCCAAACTTCTGTCCTAACATAGCCAAACAAACAAAAAAGGAATCATTCTCAAGGTAAAGTATATGCAAATTTCATAAATTCTTTATCTACAAATTAAAATCAAAAGATTGTCAAGGTCACATAAAGATCCACCAACATTTCTACTAAATGTTTAGGATAGCAAACAACAAAGTTGATGGAAGGGAAATAATTATAAAGTGAAAAATACTTGTGTTTTTTGAAGTGTGTATTAGAATGATATGAGAGGTTGGAGAAAAAAACAAACATAATGAAGACAATAACAAGCAGGTTGTCCACACTAAGTACAGCACTTATATAGTGAGCCCCCAGGAGTACAAGGTCACCAGGCTACCCTGAGGGTAAAGAGGTGGTGAACCAACACAAGTTAGACACAAAGCAGGTCAGAGTTCCCATGTCAATCAGAATTTGGTTAGCTGCTGCACTTCCAGCCTAGGTGAGATTGGGAAACTCAGTCTCTTTTCTAAAAGAAAAAAGGTAAGAGGACAGTAGGGGGTGAAACACCAACAAAGAAAGTGAGACAAAAACTCAAGGAAGAGAGAAGAGAGGTCAATGATGTTGTAACTAGAACATTTGTTTCTGATTTCTGTGTAAATAGTGCTATTTTAGAGCACCAAATAGCAAAGAACCATTACCAAGAAAAGACAAATATATATACATACATACATACGTATACATACGTATACGTATGTGTGTATGTGTATGTACGTATGTATGTACATGGATATCTAGACAAAAGGACAAAAAGAGAAGTGAGGTTCCTTGTTTCACTGAAAAAAGTGTTACATCTCATAACAAGAAAAAGAAAATAGTTCCTGTTTTTCCCCCTTCTTATACTGAAGAAATGAGCTAGATGTGTATACTTCCCTACACTCCCTTTCCATTCCCCCACCCCCTTCCTACCTCATCCTCCTGGAATACTGAACCTACCATGTGGTAATGTTATATTTGCACCATCAATGATTGCTTGTGCCAGTTCATGATCATTGTTCTCAAATGCATGTGCAGCAGCCTTCAGAGCATCCCAAATTTCTTTACGGCCTTCAAAGGCTGGTGCAGTATCCCAAAATTCATCTCTCTTGCTGCGCAGTTGTCCATCTGTCATGGGATAATCGCTTTTCCATTTTGGTTTCTCTTTTTTCAGAGGCTGATTACGACCTAAAGCAACTGGAAAGAAAGCAAAAGTCCAGAATTAGAACAAAAATTTACCAACTTCCTTCTTGCTAATCATTGAACCAAAACACTTAGAATTTTACTTAGTTAAAAATTTTCTCACTAGCTTTCTAATCCTTGTGGTTCCTAGATTTCCCTAGTTAATTCTGGAAATAGAACAGAAAAAGGGAGCCCAGTTAACTGTCTAAGACTTCCAGTCCCACTGATGGAGCCAGTCTGCTGGGCCTCCAATTCCAACTAGTTTCTCTCCATTCGGGAGACTCTCTCAGGGATGGCCAGAATGAAGTACCCAACAGTAACATTAGTTCTCTGATGTTTCATACTAGGAATCTTTTGGAGAAGAAACAGTCACAGAATAATAGAGAAGAAGGATGATGTTCATAAAAAACATTTCAACTTATCTGTCAGGGTACCTTTGGAAGCTTAGACTCTAGATGGTGAAACTGGCACCCTCAAAGAGTGGTTGTGAGAAAAGCACGATAAAACTTCAAGTGTTACATCAAAGTGAGCTATCATTACTATTTGCCCAGGGTTATATGGCTAATTATTATCAGCCCAAGTTTCCTGATTCCATATTTAATCCAAAGAGGAGTTATAGATTTAGAATTGGAAAGGCCAGATCATAAAGTCCAACCCCTTTGTCTTCATAGATGAAAATGAGGACCAGAAGGGCTGAGTAATAAAGAGTGAATATCTTAACCCAGGTCCTCTGACCGGGGTAAGGAAAGGGGAGAAAAGATGTTAGATCAGTTTCTCTTACTGTCTTTTAGAAAAACTTACATAGAAGCTGGGTCTGAACAAAGGAGAGGAAATAGACCTCGGCCCCTCTCCTAACCCATATGCCCTCACCAATGAAAACTCCTTAATGTCCTGACATATACCCAGGACACTGAAGAGGTGCCCAAGGACTGTGGTAATACACACAACTATACCACTAACCTACACTCATAGATGAGAAAGGAGACAGTTTGATGGATGGAAGAAAGACTGGGTAGGAGGTAGAAATGGTAAGAAAAAAAAGGAAGGGATGCTAGGTGGCAAGGAGTAGGCTGGTAGATGAGTGACAGAGTAGGTGGAGAGAGGGTGAATAGTGAATTTAGTGTTCTATATTTAATTGCAAGAGGGAGGCTAATTGTAAGAGGAATAAATCTTGAAATGGCTTTAAAGTAACAATGAAATGATCACTCCCTTGCTAGCCTTGGGCCAAATAAAATCTGGGTCAGACAAAACAATGAACAAAGGAATTCCAATACCTACCTAGGCAATCCCCATGCTTTCGGTGGCTTTCCTTAGATGGTAACACCTGATATTTTGCAATAAACACTGTATCTTTAGACACCTTGTGACTAGGCCATACTCGCTTCATCTACTCTAGCCAATTCCAACTACTTCTTCTCAGAACAGCAGAAAGTCCTACTTTGAATGACATGTATGCTCACAATACCTACTCCAGCACTTCCCCCCGCCTTGTAACACTCAGTATTATTCTGTAACATCATTGCTTCCAAGCACTCTAATTGCTCTCCTAAAGTAACCCACATCAGGCATGCTCTAGATGAAATGTGCACAGAAAAGTAAGAAACAGCCAAGATGACCAGGGAATTGGTATGGTAGGGCAGAATAAAGAGAACAATTAATGTGGGTATACACACACACGTCAAAATAACAAACATGCCTTGGGCAGCCACAGGCAAATAATATATTTTTGTGACTTGTCATTATAAAAGAAGCAGGAAAAAGCAAGGGGCTTAGAGTCAGAAGATCAATTTCAACTGCAACTCTGCCAATGACTCAATATAGACAGTATGCTCAGATCTTCACTTCTGAGCCTTAGTTTCTCTATCTGCAAAATGAAGGGGTTGGACTCTATGATCTCTAACTACCTTCCTAGAGCTAATACTGTATAGCCATGTTTAAGTGTGCAGGTACATCAAAACAGGAGTTGAAGCAGACATAAGAAAAGACATCTAAGAAGGTGTCAAAGTAGGCTGATGCCAATAGGGGATATGATTTAGTAGATGGAACTTAAGACATGAAAAAATTAGATGCTAAATAAGAGTATGTTAGACAAATGAAGTCAAGCTAACTTGGCAAATCCCAATCACTGTTGAGTATCTAGAAGTAGACTACCCAAATCCTTTTTCTTCATGCTTTGGTTGTCGATTTTTTCGTCATTTGAATAAATAAGCAAGCACTTATTATACACCTACTATGTTCTAGACACTATGCACAAAGCATGATTATTTTAAGTTCCATTAAGGATATGAACAACATCTACACAAAATATACACAAAGTAATTTCCTTTAATACACTCGAATTTCCTACCAAATCAAGTGTAAATCCCTCTTTCTCGCTTTTAAAGCCAAGCTCAAGTCTCACCTTTTGAATGGAATGAAACATTCTCTCTGCCCACAAGTCTTCATTTATCTCCTTGATGGCCTATAACACTTAATTTTTATATTGAAAATGACTAGTGACTTCTAATTATCCAACTCACTCTCTGAATTCTCCTTACCTCTTCTATATTATCTATTGGGTTGTATTATGGTTGTATACTAATATTATCTCCCCAATTAACATTGTCAACTCCTTGAGGTTAGTGATAATTATTCATACAGCTCTTTATATCTATATCATTTAAGCCCAAAACCTTGCAAGTAGAAAAACTCACATATTTGTTGAATGAATAAACAAATACAGCTTTATTCAATTCAAAAGTAACAATTCGGTATTATTCTTTACCTGACTATAGGTTTCTTTAAAATAACAACTAAGCATTTATATAGCACTTAATGGTTGGGAGGTACATGCTAGGCCCATTTTAAAGATGAGGAAACTAAAGCACAGAGAAGTTAAGTGACTTGCCCAGGATCACACAGCTAGTCTGAGGCCATATTCAAACTCATATCTTCTTGACTCAAAGTCCAGCACTCTCTTTTGCTCGGCACAACATAGCAATTTTTGAAAATAGGAACACATGTGTAAACACCACAGAGGTAGGCATGGTGCTAACAATTTAGTAGATATTTTTAAACTACCTCTCAACTGATTTCATTGCTCTCTACCATTTTTACTAAAGTAGGAGAACAGAAGTGAAACTCTAATCAGTTAATAGTATATTAGTTTAAAAGTGTGGTAGGATATATTCATTGCACTTTTGTAGTAGCCTAAAATTGGGAACAAAATGGGTATCTATTTATTAATTGGGGAATGGCTAAACAAGCTGATATATGCTCATAATGGAATATCACTGTGCCATAGAGTACACCTGTACCTAGGGTAGAAGGGGGGGTAATCTCCTCTACAACATACCAATCAAATGATCATCTAGCATTTGCTTGAAGACAGTCAATGAGCGGGAATTACTCACCTTCTGAAACAGTCCCGTCAACTTTTGAATAGCTCTAATTGTTAGGAGATTGTTCTTACACCAAGCCTAAATTTTTCTTTGCAACTTATACCTACTGCTCCTAGTCTTTTCTCCCCTCTGGGGCCAAAGAAAATAAATTCAATCACTCTTCCACATAATAAGCCTTTTAACTATTTAAAGACAACTATCATAAGCCAACAAGGTGGTACAAGAGATGAAGCACAGAACTTGAAAGTCAAGAAGATTCAAATTCAAATCCTGCCTCAGACCATTATTAGTTGTATAACTTTGAACTAGTCACTTAACCTCTCTGTGCCCCAGTTTTCTCATCTGTAAAATGAGGATAAGATCACCACCTACATCACGAGATTGTTGTAGGAGATCAAAAGAGATAACACATGTAAAGTACTATGCAAACCTTAAAGCACTCTATAAATGCTATTCTTGTTCTTATTAGCATCATGGACTCCAAATTTTCTCTTCTCCAGGCTAAACATCCTTAAGTTCCTCAAATGGCATGAACTGAAAAGGCTCTTCACCATCTGGCTGTCTTCCTCTGCATACTTTCCTTTGTAAAATGCAGTTCCCCAAAACTGAATACAATATTCCAGAGGTGGTCTGATAAAAAATTGAGTATAATAGGATTATCACTTTCTTATTCCTGAAAGATAGGTCTCTTTTAATTCAACAAAAGAACCTGTGTGTTTTGGCTGGCATTCCAAATTGATGAATCCCAAATGTTTGCAAGTATTCAAATTTGCAGTATTTGAAGTTATAATTATGTAAAATTTATAGTAATTGGTTTCAGGCCAATGGAACTATGTAGAATGAAATCAAATAATGCCACTTCATGGAATTCACTATTCCCACTAATTAGGACCTAGCTCTAAGTCAACTAAAATCCCTAAATGTTTTTCAGATAAACTACTAATTCATAAGATCATAGATTTAGAGCTGGAAGAAACCTTAAAGTTCATGTAGTCCAACCCCCTTATTTCACGGAACTGAAATCCATCAAGTAAATAACTTTCCCAGAGTCATACTGTTAATAAACAGCAAAACCAGTACTTGAACCCAGAACTCAACACGAAATCCAGTGCATTTTCCATTACATCACAATTTCTACTCCGTCTCATTGTGATAAGATACACTGAAATGTACAGTTGGACCTACAATAATCAGCAACCACTTTTTTGGTGCCACTTTGCTTCATTTATTTTTTTAATCTATTTGCATTTTAAAAAACAATTCTTTTGATTTTGCTTGTTATTTCTAAAAGTTTTGTTCTTATGGTTAAGTCAATCTAATTCAACATGAAATTTATTAAGCTCCTATTTACGGACTCTGAGGCATTGGGGACTCAAAGACAAAAATGAAGAAGGCCTTGACCTCCAGAAGCTTACATTCTCCTGAGGCATACAACAGATGCAAAAATAAGTAAATACAAAATATACACAAAGTAATTTTCAGAAATCAGGACACTAACAACTGGAAGACAATTTGCAATTCCAAATTAATGGCTTAATTCAAATAAAACATTTATTTTATCCAATAATTCTTTTCCTCACATTTACGGAATAATGCAGATAAGTCAACTATTATCCAAAGATGTAAGGTTACTCC